GGTGAGGGTGATGGTAAAGCCAGATTCATCCGAGTGGGGGGACACCAAGAGAGAACAAGCAAAGGGCCCTGATGCTGGCGGGAGAGGCTGTCACATAGCAACCGGGAGGGCAGTTTCACATGACAAAGGTAAGTACATCCAAAGACTGGGGCCAAGGGAGATGGTCTGAGCAGTCAGGGCTTTAACAACAGATCTAGATGTTAGAGCCCAGATTTGGGGCTAGGGGTGCCAAGTAAATCAGTGATTAGTCTGTGGGTCTATGATTTACTTCCTTGTATATTGCTGGTACCCACACGAGTCCTGGCCATGACTCCACATAGCAGGTAGAGTGTATGCGATGTTGACGTGCCTCTTACCTGGGAGATGGGGTGCAGAAGATGCATGCAGGCGAAGTGGTTGGTTCGCATTCAGAGGTTGCTCCCAAGGGGGTGATAGGTAGGGAAGGTAGGGGAGGAAAATGGGCAAATGACTTAAATGGAGCAGTGTCTTCCCTTCTTCCTTGGAGGGTTGTCTTCTCTGGCCCTGGGGAAATCTGAGACCATTGAATCAGCCTACTTCCTGGTCCAGGTGAGTGTGACTGGCATAGCACTGGTGAGGCAAATCTTTTCCCTTAAAAAAAAAAAAAGAATCAAGATGGATAGGGGGAGGACTGGCATAGCACTGGTGTCACAATCCCTGAATGCGATGAGGCATGTAAAGCACCCAGCACAATGTCAGGGACACTGGATGCTCATTGTGCTAGTTAGCCCCATTCTCTTGCTCTCAAATGAGCTCCTTGACCTTCTCCCACGACCCCCTGCCCTCCTGTCTTTTAAGACAGACTTATAGTGCGGAGACTTCAGTGCTCCCCTTGATGTTGGCCCAAAGGAGACCTCAGCCAAGGCACATCTGCTCTCTAAATCTTGCTTCTTATCCGTCAATTGATGGGCTTGTTCTAAGTCAGGGCTTCTTCATGGGTGTGCTTGGCACATGGCTGAGCCATACATAGGTCACCTGTGTGTGGAGCTGGAGTCCCTCAGTCCTGGACGTGCTTGGGTGGGTCAGGACAGCTCCTGGCAGTGTCTCTTCCAACTGGGAACAGCCTGTGTCATTGGTTTCATTGTGCAGAACAAATATTACCATTTTCTTTGTGCACTGTGATGCTGAAAAAAAAAAAAGTCAAGAAGCCCTAGAAATCATTATCCAGGTTTCCACTGAGATAATATGGCTAATATTCGAAATCATCTTCTAACTTCAAAACTCATCTTTTCCAAGAAAACTGCCTTCCACAGTGTTGTTCAATAACATGTCTTCATCATGGTCTTCTCGGCTGTTAAACATTAGCCTGGAATTTATTTATTTATCCTTCTTAATATGTGACCTGTGGGTTGTTTCCCATAACAACGGTAATAACTATTTCTACCGCCATTTATTGTGCCTATAGATGCCAGACACCTCACTAAGTGTCTTGTCATTCCTTCATAATACTGCTGTCAGGTACATGGTAACAATTGTGCATGTCCACACAGGGTAACCTGGGACTTAGATGGCCTAGAACAACTGTCTAGGCAGGAAGCTGCTGAATCAGGATCTGGACATGAGTCTGTGAGGTCCTGATCCAGTCCTGGCTCTTAACCACATGCCTCCTCTTGTGGAGAGAGGCAGCGACTTCTCTGATCTTTCCACTTCCCCACACTTCAAAACTTGGCTCAGTCGTAAAACTGAGTGTTGGGCTTGTCTACTATATTGGTGTAAATCAAAAGTGGGATTAGAACAGCCTTTCCCTGGTTGCAGAGAGAAGGCAAAACTGACCTCCAGTTACCTGGTCATGGGTGAGGGAGTAAACATAGAAACCATGACACATACAAGAAGCCCCAGGGGCCTGGCTACTAGCATTTCAGAATAAGACCCCTTCCCCACTGGCAGAACTGGAGAGAATTCTTCTCCCTACCCCTCAAACCACATGCCAATCTGGGAAGTGCCCGGAGTCCTCCTGTCCAGGTCTGTCTGTGGGAGGGGAAATAATAGTGATTGAGAGGATTGATGGGTCTTGGACATCCAGCCTGGAATTCGCATGGCCCAGCAGCATGGTGGTGGCCCCAGCCTTTAGCCCGGTTACCTCAGGACTTCACGGTGCCCAGGCCAGCTTCTCCACCACTTCTCTCCTCTTTTCTGGGACTTGTTGTCCTTACAGGTTGTAGGTGACCCCTCACCTGGCTTTCCTGCTCCCTGATCTTCTAATGGAGTCCTGTGAAGAATTTACTTTTGGACCCTTGATGAGTTGTCTGTGAGTGTTTCTGAGCAGCTCCTATCTCACTCTTCCTTCATCTGAATCACCAAACTACAAACAAGCATACTTTGGGGTTAAGGGTAAGACAGGCCTGAATTTGACTCCATGCTCCAATCCCCATCAGCATGTAACATTGGGCTAGTTTGACTATATTTATTGAAGAAATATTTACTGAGCACTTACCATGTGCTATATACTATTGCAGATATTAGAGATGTGGGGATATAGTATGTAGACTAGGACAGCAAGTGGACATGATTGAGAAGGTGGGGAGGTAAGTCTTTTCTGAGTTGAAATCTAAATGATGATGAAGAGGTGATATGGAGGAAGAGCATTTTAAGAAGATGGGGGGAGTAGATAATGCAAAGGCATTGGGGTACAAAGAAGAGAGCAAATTCAACAGGTGTAGAGCTTGAAGCCATGTGGAGAGGGAATTGCAGGGCATCCAGGTAGAAGTAGGGAGATCAGTTAGAAGACTAGAGCAAAGGTCCAGGCCAGCAGTGATGGTGTGTGGGTGGGGAGGATAGGGGCAGACAGATGTGAGCACTGGGAACATGAAGTCAAAGGAATAGTTTATAAACCTGGTCCACTGTGCTGACCCCCCACATGCTTTCTTTTTTTAAAAAGCAATTTACCTGCAACCCTACCTGGCTTACATCAACAGGATGCTACATTACTCGGCAAACAACCTGTTATCTACAGGAGAAATGCAGGCCTGAAACGTTGATAAAAAGAACACAAGTTTTCCTGAAAGTGTGTGTGTGTGTGTGTGTGTGTGTGTGTGTGTGTGTGGTTGGGGGTTTTGACCCTTACACAGACCAAATCCCAGAACTCAGGGAAATAAGAAGAATTTCCCTTAACTATAAAATCTGAAGAACAAGTTCTAATTAAAACTGGTCAGTAAGGGCCAAAGTGACCTAGAGTCATCCTGCACAGTGGGACCTTGAAAATCTAATGCCATTCTCCTGTTAGTCAAAAGAGATGGACCTGGGAAAATTTCTTTGGAAACTTCTCTGAGGCCCCCAATGAAAGTGGAAGGCAGGAGGGGGTGTGCTGTCCTTCTCCTTTGAGGGAGGACCCCCTCTATCCCTTGAGAATGTTCCCTTCCCTTGCCCATACCCCTTCAATAAACTCATATCTGCTACTCGGAGTGACATGGCAGAAATCTTCCTGGTGAGATTGCAAGAATCAGTGAAGTGGGGCCTCTGTGGCTGCCTCAGCACCATGACAGTTCTTTGCCCTCCAACAGGGTGTATATTACCTTTCCAACCTCACTTTCTTTTTTTTTAGGGGGGGAGGGGTACTAGAGATTGAACTCAGAGGCACTCCCCCCGACTGAGCCACATCCCCCAGCCCTATTATGTATTTTATTTAGAGACAGGGCCTCATTGAGTTATTTAACACCTTGCTTTTGCTGAAGCTGGCTTTGAATTCTCAATCTTCCTGCCTCAGCCTCCCAAACCACTGGGATTACAGGCATGTGCCATCGCGCCTGGCCCAAGTCTCAATTTTCTCATTTACAAAATGAAGATAATGAAAGTACCTACCTTACAGGATGGTGATGGAGATTCAATAAGTAAACACTTGGCATACAATAAGTGGTACCTATTAGTAAGAAGAGAAAGAGTAGTCATCATAGCATGAGCCTGGCTCTGTGAGCCCTCACATGAGAACTGAGCTTATAATTAAGCTAAGACTTTTCCGTTCAGCAAAACACTAGGGGTGCTTCCAGTGTGCCAAGGATCAGATACCAGCTACTCCTCCTGGCTTACTCATCCCAGGTTCTTTGTGAAGAGCATCACTTGCTGCTCACCAAGCTCTGGGATGGTCACCGTGCAGGAAGAGACGGACACATAGTCTTGGGAGGAGGGCAGCAGCGTCGCTGTGCTGAGGAAGCAAGCACAGAGGAGTGGGGAAACCTGAGCACCGGTGCCTCCTTGGGCAGGTCCAGGAGAAATTCCCACTTCATCCAGAAAGATTCTGAGTTAAGAAGGGGCTGGAGAAAGGCTTGAGCTAGCAGGGGAGGCACTCCAGGATTAAAAAGGCAAGGCTCCTCTTGTTTCTGACCTTCCATAAACCATGGCAGGGATGTGGGATAAATAGAGGAAGAGAGAAAGGAGGGCGGGGGAGGAATCCTTCCCTGGCTTTCCATCATTTTGAAGATGAGAGGATAAGATGAAAGAAACTGCAGCCGCTAAGAGGGATGCAGTTAGACCCAGCAGTGTGCAAAGACAGCAGCTGGACCCTCTGGAACATTTCTGCTCTGATGAGCAGGGTCTTCTCTTTTGCAGAAATCTCGCTCTTCCAAATGGTGTTGGAGGCAGGCCTGCCACGGGGCTGGAGGGCTCTGATGACCTCCACCTCCCACCTCCAACTCTTCTAGCTGTCTGCCATGGTGGGAAGGGAAATTTTATGAGCTCTTCATTCCTCAGGTCCCATGGGGCTCTTGCCTTGCTCGAGACCATCTCTGATACACACATATATCTTAAAAAGAAAAAGAAAGAGAGAGAAAAGCTATTTTATTTCATTGCCAAACTATCCACTTTAAATACCCTTTTTATTACAGTATCTGCATAGTAATACTAATAATAGATCTTGTTGGCAGCTCTAATGAGGCTGGAGAATATAAGGTTTCCAATAAAGTTAATTGTTGCCTTTAATATTCTCATACATTTATACATGGTAAATCTTTAAAGGAGAAAAAACACTCCATTTCATTTCTGTTAAGCAGCCGGTCCTAGACTGGATGGAGACCAACTACAGTAGCAATGTGGGCCAGGAGCTTGACTCTCAGAGAACTTGGATCATGATCTCCAAACTTCTTCTGAGCAGGAAGAGCATGGAATTTGAGTCAGCAAGATCTGGATTTCCAGGTGGGCTTTGTTGCTTTCTAACTTTGTAGTTTAGGTATATTGCTTAACCTCTACCAACGGTGTGCTGTGGGGTTACACCTGTAACCCCAGCTACTGGGGAGGCCGAGGCTTAAGGATCACAGATTCAAGGACAGCCTCAGCAACTTAGTGGGACCCTGTTTTAAAGTCAAAAATAAAAAGAGATATGAGTGTAGTTTAGGGGTAAAATACCCCTGGGTTAATCCCTAGAACTGGAAAGAAATTAATCTTTATCCGCCTTGGTTTCTTAGTCTAAAAGATGGGACACATAATAAACATATATAGCTCAACTTTAGTGCTTGCCACATTCTTAGTGCTCCATATGTGGAAACTCTCTCTATGAGGAACTATTTAAACACAATTAATATTTTATCCTCCTACTACGAGTATCATTAACTGTGAAATATATCAGAGTATTACCATCACTGTATTTGAACTTGAGAGCTAGCTAAAAACTTTCTACTGTCAATCAGCTTCTCAAGGTCACAGGGCAGTATGTGATGATGGAGGTTGGAACCCTGGATTCCCCATCCCCAGCCACATCCAATGTCAAGCTGTTTTTAGACAGGCCCCCATCGCACATCCAGGGCCCCAGGCCCAGAGCTTCCTTGACATTCTTACTTTCTTTCCACCTTTTGAACAGACTCAGGTCTGTTGCCTGGCCCTGGACCAATCTCGATTACAGTACTGGTGGAAAGGGAGGGCTACTTTCCCCAATCTTGGGACAGACACTTATGATTCCTGTCCAGCCTCTCTCAGGGGTCATCAATTTTCTTTGTTTTCACTTTTTCTTGAAGAAAACATCATGATTTTTACAGTCACAGAACAAAGAAGAAGGTAGGTTTCACCATTTATTCTATCGCCGATTTCATGTATTTTTGACAGTTCCATCACATTTCTGACATTTACAATGTTTTTCTCCCAGGGGGGTAAGTAGAAGAGATGTTGATCCCCAGGCCCCTCCCCCATGGTCCAGGAAAGGGAGAGATGAACAGAGATGCCCCAGGTTAGGGACAGGCCTATGTAACCTTGTGTTTCAGCAAATGGATCGCAAACAATGCAACCCCCACTCCCGACCTTCCCCACCCAGCCAGGGTTCTCCTCTACACATCAACGCCTCTCCCGCTGGCAAGTGGTAAGAAATACTATGTGACAGGATGGTTGCCATGGCAACCCTCATTTCCAGTTAAACAACCGGGCACTGATGAAAGGAGTCTCGTTTGCTTCGGTTAAAGGGTTTGTAGGGAAGGGTGTGGGGCTTGTTTCTTTCTTCCTCTCGTCTTCTTTCTCAATTCTTGCTTTTCCATGCCCTTTTAGGAACAAGGTAGGGGCTCTGCCTGGCCAGGGGCCACGACTGGCCCTAGGGAATGCGAAGTGTAGTTTCAGGCTGGAACAGAGGCAGCCAGGATGGGGGGCCCAGGTCTGCAAGCCCAGAATGTGCCTCCTCTCTTTGCAGCCATGATTTTCCTCACAGCCCCTCCTGCCTCAATTCCCCGGGTCCCCTGCTCTCCCAGAGAAAGGAACTGTTGGGGGAAGAAACAGGCTGGCGCAGGACCCTGTGTCCCAACAGGTGGTTGGGTAATTAAGTGAGCTTTATGCACACAACACTGTTTTGCCCGATGTAATTGCAGTTTCCATATAAATAATTCACGGGAAATTATTAGAGTGAGGACATCGCCCGCCTCCTCATAATTTGCTTAACCGAAATAGGCTCTTTCATCATCCGCGTTGATTTGCCTTAAGACCATGCACTCAGCATCCTTCATAGGCCTGCTCCTCTGAAAACGAGAATGCAGAATTTAATTAAGTTATGCAAATCGGGCGTCCCCTGCCTGGGGAGAAGCAGGGTGTTTGCCCACATGGCTGTGGGGTGGTGCAGGGGAGGCGAGGAGGGCCCCCCCATGCGCCTCAGGTGGTGGGCAGCTGTTTGGGGAGGGGTGAAGGAGCTCCCCCAGAGAAAGAGCATCATCTGAGGATGAGTTGGGGGGGGCTGAGCTCCATGTATGGGGTAGAGCAGACTCAGAGCTTGAACTCTGGGGTCTGCCTCCTGACTTACCAGCTGTGTAACTTGGGGGAAGTACTTAACCTCCCTGAACTGTGGCATCTTCCTCTGTAAAACGAGGATAATAAAGACACTGATGGAGAGTTGATGTAAGGGATAAATGAGAGGATCTCTGGAAAGCACTTCATACGCGCCTGGCCCTAGGGCTTCATAAGCACCTGCTTTGACTATTATTACTGGTACTTTTATTATGATTGTTCTTGCTATTGTTATTAAATATTTTGGGTTCTCAGCTTGTGACTTCCATTGTTCTCCAAGGAAATGTTGGGCTGAAGCCATCCTGTCCTTCTGCTTCAGGGAGGATGAAGTTTATGTCTTTCTCCATGATTTTTGGAAGGAATTGTCAAGTTTGGGGAAGAAAACCTGGCATCTCAGAGAGACCAAGGTTCCAATTCCACCTCACTGCATCGAGCTGCAATTGTGGGCAAGTCACTGCCTTCATGAGCCTTGAGGACCTCTCGGGTACTATGGAGAATATTCCTGTTGCTCTTGGGGTTTGTGAGGATTAGGAGAAATGTTCACGGAGCACCTGGCACCTAGAGTTGATGCTCTCCAACTGGCCAAATGAATCCTCAAGGCTGGAGACTCCACCTCCTCAGTGCGTCCAGGCAGGGCCTGGCCCTCCCTCTTCACTCTCCACCATTTTTTTTTTAATCTTCTTGGTGGCCCTTTCTCCCCTCTCCCCTGGGCCCCTTTCTCTCTTGCACCAGTTAAAGGATCAAAGGAGTCAATAAACTCATCCACTCTAAGGTAAAAGTAACTGATGTCCTTAAAAGCTCTACTCTTGCTGAAGGGATTGCGATTTTCTCAAGGAAATAAAAGGTTTAATTATTCTAAATCCAAAGCTTTGGATCTGTAATGGGGGAGGTGTCCAATAAAGCAGAGAGGTGCTCCCCAAATCTTTACTAAGAAGTCCCGGCTTCTTTGCATTTCTCGACACCTCATATCTACTCTCTCTCTTGCTCAGGTTCGAGATCTGTCACAGAGGCAGGTGTTACATTCACTAAACAACTATTTATTGATCAGTTCCTGTACAGCAGGTACTGTGTGAAGCTTTGGGTTTATAGTGGTGAGCAAAATAGACACAGTTCCTGCCCTAATTGAATTTAAAAGCCAGTGGGGGTGACAGTTATTAAACAAAAGGTAGCCCTTCTAATTCCCATCCTTGGTAGACTCTGGAGGAAATGAACAGGGGGCCTGAAGAACAAAGGGCGGAATTTAAATGGGGGTGGGGACTTGAGGTGTCTAGGTGAAGGAAAGTGAGGAGTGAACGCAGTGAAGAGTGAGAAGGAGGGTATCCCTGGCAGAGGGAAGTGCTGTTCAAGGGCTTGGAGGCAGGAAGGAGCCTGGTGTCTCTGGAGGTGAAATGATTAGACTGTGAGAGCTCTGAGATCAGTTTATCTTGGTTTAAATGGACTAATTGAGGGGTAACTGTAGGCAGTTGGGGTGGGCTGCAGGAGGTGGTCACGAGGAGTGTGCCCTGGAGGGGTTCATCCTCCCTGTACCCCCTACCCTCCTCCCCTCTTCCATGAGTTTAGTGGTGGATCCTCTACCACCCGCTTTTGCCATGATGTTCTGCCTCACCTGAGGCCCAGAGTAATGGAGTTGGCCTATCACGGACTGAGACTGTGAGCCCCAAATAAACTTTTCCTCTCCTGATTTGGGTATTTTGGTTACAGTGACAAAAAGCTAACACAGAAATTGGCCTGAGAATTGGGGTTAGTGCCGACTAACCTGATGACATGGCTCAGAAGGCTTTGGAGCTGGCACCAAGGGGGTGCACTATGTATTTCTTAGAGTTGCCAGCCGGAAAAGCTTTAGAATGTTGTAAGCAGAGCTTAATGGACAATTCTGGTTGCAGTCCAGAAGATGAGAATGCCGATAAGAATTTGGATTGTGCTCCTGAGGCTTCAGAGGAAAAATAAAGACTCTATTGGATATTAGATAAGAGGCCATTCATTTTCTATTCTGGCAAAGAACTTATCTACATTTTGCCCATACCCTGAGGCTTTGTGTGAGGCTTAGTTAAAAGGTGATGGTCTAATTAATTTGGAAAAAAATTCAAGGCAATCTATATTCAGTTGGTGGCATGGATATTGCTGGTAGTTTTTAAAAAGCCAGGTGTCTTGTGAGAATCAAGAGTAGAAAGTAGAGCCAGGGCTGGGGCTGTAGCTCAATGGCAGAGCACTTGCCTCGCATGTGTAAGGCACTGGGTTCGATCTTCAGCACTACGTGAAATTAAACAAATAAAATAAAGGCATTCTGTTAATCTACAACTACAAAAAGAAAAAAAAAAAAAGAAAGTAGAGCTAAAGGATTTAAAAAGCTTACTATGACCAGAAAAGTGCTTGTAAAACTGGGGCCAAGAAAGGTGGCTTGTCGAAGAGATTAAGGCCCCACAGAGAGGCTAAGTACTTGGCAGAGAGACAATAGGAAAGGTGGCTTGAAGATATCCCAGGAATTTGCAAGACCACACAAACTGCATGCTCTCAAGGGTGTAGAAGGGAAAATTCCCTTGAAAAGAGACCATGGGGTGCCCTACTTACATAGCAGGGCCTAGAAATATGTTCTTCTCTACTGAGCCCCCCAGGTACTCAGAGGCCAGTGAAGCTGTGACTCCAGGGAGCTCAGCTACTGAGTGAGTTGGCAGCAGATCTTAGCATCATCCACATGGTGCTGGTTCTGCAGGAATGCAGGTTGCTGCAATTAAGGGGTCATGGAGCTTCTACTAAGATTTCAAAAGAAGGCCTGGGAGGCCAGGCAAAGTGTAGCAGGGTCAGAATCCCCACAGGATATCCCATAGGGGGCAATATTTAAAGTTGTAAAGGCAAAACTGAAGCTGGAATGGAGACCTCAGGAATTAAGAGAGATACCAGAAATGTAGACTGTCTGCTGAGGAAAGCTGCTGGTCCTGGAGACA